CATGCGGGAGATGTACGTGCATGCACAGGGGAGCGCAGGGGTATGTGGCACATCCCTTCCACACCCCGTTTTTGGTCCCAAGAGGCTCCAGGGAGGTCTGCGATGCCCAAAATGGGGCACGGGGGGGGGGGTCACACATTCATGCACAGGGGGTTGCACGTGCATGTGGGGGGGTCGTGCACGCATGCATGTTGGTGAGGGAAGCATGGGCGGTCATGCACACATGCGCATGGGGTGGGGCACATGGGTTGTGCATGCACATTGCATTATGGGAGTGGGCATGCAGGCGTGTGCTGTTGCGTCTGTGTGCTTTTGTCAGGTGAGGTCAGAAAGGTTACCCATCACTGTCCTAGACCTAGACAAACATTTGACAAACTATTGTATTGGAAGTGGAGGGAGAGAGTTTGGTGCGCAGGTGAGAGTTTATTGCTGGTCTTAGCCTATGGCAACTGCCCTCCAACATGTTATTCCCTGGAATTCCCAACCAACATTGCCAAAAGTTGCAAATGTAGAAATAGTAGCCCCAGGGCATCCAGAAGTAAAGGTAGTTTTCAACTTACAACTTTCATCATTCTTGGATTGAATCAGAATCTCTGTTATTAATCAAAGTGTTTGTTAAGGAAATCACAGTCAATTTAAAACCTTTTTTGCTACAGTTGTTAAATGAATCATTTCACTTATTAAAAGAATAATCCAGTCATTAAGCCAATCCAGCTTCCTCGTTGACTTTGCTTGTCAGAAGCCAGCTGACAAATGGGGATCACATGATCCAAGGGTTATCATATGCCGGTTGCCAAGTGCCCAAATGTCAACCATGTGACTGATGGGATATATTGAAGGTTGCAAGTGGAAGGACTGTTATAAGTCACTCTTTTTACTGCCGTTGTAACTTTGAATGCTCACTAAATGGTTGTAAGTCAAGGACTACCTGTATTGAGGTTGGACAATGATGGCATTACTTAAGAAAATTTATACGGCTGCCGAAGTCACTTGAGGAATTCAACTTTAATGTTTGTTCCTTACGGGAATGGACATAGTATGTAATATGTGAATTATATGTCTTATGCAAAATTCTAATGCCTTTTTTTGAACAGGGGAGATTTTCCAGTGTTTGTTTAAATGAAGAGATCTTGCGACGGGGGCTTGGCAGGACAGTTTGTATTGAAGGATTGGCTCATGAATCTCAGATATACTGGAAGTTTCACAAGAGGCTACTTCAAGCAGAAATGAAAGCTGTGAAAAAAAAGAAAGGAATCTGGAAAGAAGAGACACTCATTGAAAAGTTCAAGGAACACATCAACAATTATAAACTTATCCAAAAATTAAAGCAGTTTGCAACATGGTTGAGAATCCGGCTATGAAAACAATTGCTTGGAGGAACCTAAATGGAGCAGGGAGTAGCACTGCGTTCATTTGTGAAAATGATGTAACTAAGTTCTTAAGAAGATGAAAACATCTGATACCGATGTCTTAAGAAAATGCGCATATACAATACACATAATTATTGTTAAAAAATGTATCTACGCTTTTTCACAAAGAATAACTTTAGGCTGTCTAATATGGAAATATGGAATTATTGGTGATGTATTTTACAAAGATTGCATGAAAGTTCAGGGAAAGAAAAGAAAAGAAAAAGCAAGGAATGGTTTCCATTATTACTTTTTGTGCAAAAAATTGGTCAGCTTTTTTATGATAGGACAGCTATAACTGATGCTTGACCTTTGGCAACATTATACATGTTTCTAGATCAGTGATGGCTAACCTTTTCGGCAATCAGTACCAAAACTGGAGCCTGTGTGTGTGCTGGAGCACCGAAACCTGGAAGAGAGCAGCTGGCCGGTGCACATTCGTGTGGTGACCAGATGCTCTTTCGGGTTCCAGCCCGCACATACACACCGGAAAGCTGGTCTTCATGGAAAGACCCGGAAGAGCAGCTGGTGACAGCACGCATGCCCAGAGAGAGAGCTCTGCATGCCACCTCTTTCACCCGTGCCATGGGTTCGCCATCACGGTTCTCGATGCTGAATTTGGCTTAGTTTGGAAGACTGCTTTCTGGCTTCAGTTTATGATGGCATGATATTATTTAATGCTCTTGGGACAATGGTCTGATTTAAGTTCACACTGGCACTGGTTGAAAATGATTAGCTAATAATTATATAAATTAGCCTCATAAACATTGTGCATTTGGTGCTGTCTGTTCTAGAGGTGGTTCTTAATAGATGTTACAATACCACCCACCACCTATAAATATCAAAGTGTAGCAATTGCAATTCTGGGTCGTTGCTCCTATTAACTATATCAGGTTTCTTTCAGAAAAGGAAGAAATTATATCAGCCAAACTATCTTATCTGTACATAGTGTATGCTCTCTTTGGTCTGTGTCCGTGTGGCTTCATTCCTTTGTTCTGTTTATTTCTCTTTGCTTCGTGATGCCACATGGAAAAATTAAATGCAGCGGCCTGTATAATTTGTTTATCAAAGAGAATAACTAATTTCAGAGAGACCAACGTGCTCAAGAGTCAGTATTACTGCTTATGTTTTATAGACCTAATGTTTTAAGGGACGAAGAAGGAAGTGACATTGAAATTATGGACTTGTGCTCAAGGCAAGTTTGTGTTGGATTCGAATGTAAAGATTAATTGACCTGATCATAAGATGTGCTCACATGAATAGATTTACTTTGGTAGAACATTATGTATAACTGTGTTCTGAACCACTTATTTATATGCTTAACTAGCACTTGACAACATTTTGAATGGTCTTGCCAATGTAGGTAATATATATAGAGATAATATATCTACATTGAGAATTAAATCTTATAGAAATATTTTTTTTGCTGATCTGTATTGTCTTAAAATTACTTCAATACAAAGCAATATGTATTCCTTAAATATCAATATATAAAATGCAGTTCTTCAATCCCCCTAATATAGTTATTTTTCCTTGTAACTTTAGCTATACTGATAGTAATTTTGATATTGGTAGAAAGACAACTCTGCCTGGCTAGAAAATGAGAGGTTGTGAGTTCTAGTCCTGTCTTAGGCATGAGAGCCAGTTAGGTGACATTTTGGGCCAGTCATTCTCCAGTCACTGAGATAGAGAGTGTGACTATCTCAATGTCACCCAGCTGGCTTTATGCCTGGGGTGGGACTAAAACTCACAATCTCTATACCCGAATGGCTCTCTTGGGTGTAATAAGCCCAATTCATTTTTCATTGTCTTTAGGGATAGGATTATCTCATTCTTCTCATAGAATGTGTTTGAAGTGTGTACTTCAGTTAAAAAAACACTCTTCAGATCGGAATGATGACTTAAATAAATCTTATGAGTATTAAAAACCTGTTTTAAGAATGGAACCGGGTAATATAATCTGCAGATTTATTTTCCAGACCCAAAGCTAGCGTAATTTCCACCACAAATTAAACCTTCCTAATAATTTTAAATACAGTCCTGTTGTTCTACCTGATTTAAAGCCTAGCTTTTAAAAAGTGCATTTTATATCGAAGAATGACATTAAATCCTGATTTCTGTCTTCAAGATTTTATCCTGGTCACTTCATTCAGCATGATTCCACTGGCTGGTATCATAGGCTGATAAATAGTAGCAAAATTATTTCTGAGGGATAAAGGAGATTCATTCTGGCATGTTGCTGTTATATTACAAATATTGTATTTAGTAGAACAATAATGCTATAAAACTTCAGTGGGGAATTGCTCTCCTCTTTCTCTCCATTTATGAAGGGTCCAGCTCCCCAACCATGTCACTTCTAATTATCTTTGGATAAAGTTTCTTCAGCTGGAGCCCATGATGCTTTGCTTTGAAACGGCACTCTCTTCAGGCGAATTGAATAACATCAATGGGGTGTTTCTATGGTTTCAGCCAGGCCAAAACTGGACAGTGATGAAAAGGTGAAACTTAAGCTGGCTGCTCCTAGAGGTCACCGTTCCCCCATTCTAGCCTCCCTTCCTTCAAGCTGTCTGCAAAGCCAATGCATCAGATTGACAATAATTCCTTTTTGCAACCCCTAGGATAAAGAAAAGAGTGCCACTTCCAAAACCTGCACTCTTTCTTAGATGCAAGGCTGCTTTGCATATATTAAACATAAGAGCTGATGTGATCTGCCCGTTAAGAATCACTCAGATCTGACTGCAACTGAACTTCCTACTGCTGTAGCCTCAGGCGCACATAATGACTGTGCTCAGTTGCACTAACATTTAATTGGTTTGTTTAGTTTTAGTTTGGCTTGCTTTATGTGTCACATGAACCAGTCATGGGTGATACATCATAATCTATGGTTAAGCAGTACTGGATACAAATTAAAAGTGGTTGATTTAGTAACCATGGTTTAGGGTCTTGTGGGAACCCAGATAATAAAATAGAAGTGGAATCCTTTTGCAGCCAGAAAACACATTTAAAATACAAACGCAAAACAATTGTCTAATACAGAGAGTGACATGGTGATACCTCAGGAAGAGACATGGCTAATAATTTTGTCCAATTCTTTCTGTGATTCAGGATGTGGGATTAAAGCAAAGTCAATGTGTTAGCCTACTATAGGCTTAAAGCTCCTGTTGAATTAAAAAAATAAATAAAGCAAAATACTGCACCATCTGTGATTTGCCACAAATTTCATTATGTAATTTTGGGAAACTCCAGGGATCACAAAAATGGGATTGGGGCTTTGTGGTTTATAGGTTTGCCTCCTAGACTCCCTGGGATATGTTCCATAGAAAATGTGTCTAGCTTTGCCTTTTCTGTGGATTTAGATAAACCACTTAAGATCGCCTTATGTCGGTATTTCTCAACCTTAACAACTTGTTAGGAAATTCTGGGAGTTGAAGTCCACAAGTTTTACAGTTGCTTATATTAAGAAACACTGCCTTATGTCATTGCAAATTAGAATCACCATTAAAAGGCTGTTTCCAACATAATATATAATACTGGGGGAAATATTTTGAATGATAGAAATATCCCATATAAATTGAAGAAACAGGTATTTTTTCTTAATTTGTCATGTAAATTAATAGAGCAATTGACAAAGGCAGGATGAAGCAGGTCTTTTCTAGCTGGAACTGTGTTTTGTTTTAAAAGAGAGCACTTTCTTCACTAGAGAGCGATCCCACGCATTTAAAGCAGCAGTTACATAAACAATACACCCCAAACTTTCTTGCCTCTTTCTTATTGGCGGAGAATTTGAAATAGGTGAATGAGAGCCACTTGATTCTCCCAGCAGACTTTGAACCAGCAAACAATAGAGGCAGGTTGAATTGGACAGAGGCGAGAATAATCTGGAATTCCTGGTGCTGGATTATACCAATCCTGGGCTTTTTTAAAATGAAAGTAAAAAGCAGTGGCTCTGCAGCATTTTAAAAACGGGCATGAAATAGGAGTTTGCAGCCAGTGATGTAGGACACATATCTGAGTGTACCTACACTAAAACAGATTAGTGCTGTGCTGTGTATTCTGTTTAAAAAAACAAACAAATATTGAGTTAAGTGTGGTTTGCTTTTCCCCCAAACTGAATATAATACAGTGACATTTTCATAAGATGTGTCCAAAGATTTTGCACTTAATTTAGTGATGAGGTGGCCCGTGTGCATGTAAAGGGTCTTGTCTTACAGGGTTTTTTCTTCTTGATGCCCTGCACTTTAATTATTTAGTTATTTAAAATAATTAATAAAGCCTCTCTTCTCACAATTTATACAATGGGCAGTCACTAACAATAAAAACACAGTACAAAACCAAGAATAATTCAACAAAATCAAAGATAACACAGACTCTAGGCTGTCAGTGAACATATATACAAATACACCTACCACAGAATGGACTCTCTTGCATTTCGGTCCAGAGTGCTAGAGAGAAGCCCTTTTTATGTGTGCTTCCGCAGAATACTAATATGGTAAAAGAGAAACAGAAGGATTTCATTTCAGGATGGGCAGACAAACAGATTGCAAAGGAATGGAAGCTGTATAGTAATTGCTTTACCCTTCTGTTCAATTGTGGTCTCTGAGACTGCTTGGAGATGTTCTTGCAATTTCCTTGGCAGGGTTTTTCAGAAGTGATTAGCCATTGTCTCCTTCCTAGAGCTGAGAAGAAGTGACTGGCCCAAGGTCCTCCAGTTGGCTTTATGCCCAATGTGGGACTGGAACTCTCAGTCTCCCAGTGTCTGGCCAGTGCCTTAACCACTACACCTTCCTGTCTCTCTATACCAATAATATCACTAGCTTTATCTAGTACTGCTGCACCTCGGCCAGGGGCTGCACTGCTACCTTGGGCAATTTTGCTAAAGCCACTTTTGATGCTATCTCCAAAACCTATAGTTATCTGACCCCTGATCTCTGGAAAGAAACTGTCTTCACTAAATCTCCTTATCACAAGTTCCTGGTCATCTGGCGAAGACCCAGAGACCCACCAGAGTGTCTGTGCAAAGAACTCAGGCAGCTGCTGTGGCAACAACCTAAAAGATCCTGTATATTATCAGTAAAGTAACCTTTAAGTTTTAAAAAAAATATCACAAGCTTTATCTGTTTTACAGTATGAAAGGAGATTCAGAAACACCAACAAAGGCGCTGTCAGAGGGTAGTAGGAAAACAAAATTTCTTGGAGAAGAGAACTTGCCAGAACCTGGAAGACAAATTTCGACACAGTATTACTTTTTAAAATTAACTAATAGCAAGCAAATGAAACAATATAGTTAACTCTATATGGGTGGACGTTGCTTGTTTTTGTTTTAATTTACAACATTTACCTCCTGTGGTGTTCCACACGGCATTCATGGTACCTTCATATCTTATTCTTACTCTGAATGAGGCAAATTAAATGGAGGAATTGGTTTGAATTGCACAACCATTAAATGGAGGAATTGGTTTGAACTATGCATTTGTTGTTCATGGTTTATCAACTAAATCACAATGGCTGAGTTCATAAGAGTTCATTAATCTATAATTTAAAATGCTTAAACCACAATCAATGAATTCATAGGACACACTCAGCCAAACCAAACAATCTTCGGGATGACTTCATGAGCTGACTAAATGAAGATTTAAAGCTGTCTAATTAGAACTATTCCCTGTCTTAGTATTGATCCACTACATCAAACTGATTGGTTTTGAAGAATGCTAATTTTGGTCTGCAAGTATATAGTAAAGCAAAAACTATAAAGCTGTACGATTAGTTTAAGGGAGATACAGAAAATGGAATGGGTTAGCAGCATTCTAAAGAATTGTTCAATTGTATCACTTACATCCAAGGTCAATGTAATTCTGATGTACTACTAGCTTGGACAGGACTAGAACTCACAGTCTCTTATTTTCTAGCTTGATGTCTTAACCACTAGACTAAACTGGCTCATAAATATACATGTATGTATAAGCAATGAAGGTGGCACAGTGGCTAAGATGCTGAGCTTATCGATTAGAAAGCTCAGCAGTTCATCAGTTTGAATCCCCAGTGTCACGTAATGGAGTGAGCTCCCGTTACTTGTCACAGCTTCTGCCAACCTAGCAGTTTGAAAGCATGTACAAATGCAAGTAGAAAAATAAGGACCACCTTTGGTGGGAAGGTAACAGCGTTCCATGCGCATTTGGTGTTTAGTCATGCCGGCCACATGACCACGGAGACGTCTTCAGACAGCGCTGGCTCTTTGGCTTTGAAACAGAGATGAGCACCACCCTTAGAGTCGGGAACGACTAGCACAAATGTGCGAGGGAAACCTTTACCTTTAAGCAACGTATCAGCATGCCAAGTAATTATACATTCATGTGAAATAATTTCTAGAGATACCTTAAAGCAATTCTTATTAACATTACTGCAATATACTCATTAGTGAAAAGCAGAAAAAGAGTTATTGATGTCACATAGCCTTTTATGTCTCATTTCTCCCATATATTTTTCTTTATTGAGGTTAGTGTCCCAGTTAACTAGACAGGTAGTGTGGTGTAGTGTAGTGGTTAAAGGTGCTGGGTTAGGAAAACCTAGGTTCTATTCCCCTTAGGCATGAGAGCCAGCTGGATCTTGGCTCAGTTATTTCTTCCCAGCCCAAATAAGCATCAGACTGTACAACTGGCTGGCTGAAACAAAGAAACAAAATTGGTCCATCATATACTGTGTGAATTAAATGTGCGCAGTGCAAAATAAGTGGACTTTGCAGTTGTGTGGAGCAAATCCTAAGAAAAGCAATAATAGTATCCCAATAAAGGGTAACTGGGAAACCTGAAAGAGTTTTTACATTCCACAACAAAGGTGTTAGATAAATATGTTTATTAGATCCACCCTTCAAGATATGGGAATATTTCATTATGTTATATTCAGTCTGTTATCAAATATATTGTCATTGTCATTGTCATCATCAGCCATTCAGTTGTGTTCAACCTTTAGCCAGTCTATGGATCTGCATTTTTCATGTCCCTCTGTCTCACACTGCCTTCTTCAAGTCCACCATCGTCATCCTGGTGTTATCCTCTTTAGTGTCCAGCCAGAGGGTAATGAAAAAATATTGGACAGGGAGAAAAAAGATGTAGCAATGAAGCCATCAGACCTTTATAAATATGCATAAAAATGACCTCACAAGATATATTGGGGGAAAAAGTACAGAAGCCATATGTTTGCAAAACCCATGTTCAGTCATTAGATGTTCATGTTAAATAGGTCTTTCCTAGGTACTATTTAATCTTCCTGGATCCTAACGTCTAGGATTCATGGAGTTGATTGAACCTCCACAGGGAGAGAATTCCAGTGTGGAGACAACAGTAAAAAACCCCATTTCCAGTGTTCCATCAGGATGAGACATGAAGGAAGTTGGTCCTGTTGGATCTGATTAGATAGGTAGATAAATACAGGAAGTGATGGTCTTCAATCAACACAGACATCCAGATTACATGCAGATGAGATATAATCTACTTGTTATTACAGTATAAGCATGGTTGCCTAAATGTTATGATTAAAAGTCAAGGAAGTCATGGAGTTACGGTATACAATATATTGTACCTTTTGTGTTTTCACAACTTACTGAACCATAACTACATGCACTAGTTTTGTGAGACACAGCCAGGCTAAAATCAGGTTGATAAACCTGTATTTCAAGTGTGTGTGTGTGTGTGTGTGTGTGTACGTGCATGTGCAAATAAAGATTTTGGGCTGGTCTGAATGATTGTGTAAAGCCAACCCTAAAATAGGTAAATAATACACAACTACATTTCCCCTAGTACAAATCTTTTGTGCACTCACTGTGCCATGGGGAAGCAGATTTAAAATATTCACGACATTTCCATGTTTGACCCGGGATGGGGAGTGGGGATTGGGGCTTTTAATCAGATTTGAGCCCAAACTGGCAACCAGGCACCATACGCTATCAAGCGATTTAATCCCCAGCAGTTTGCAGGAGCCATTCCGGATTCAAAAAACAAACAAACCGCCGCGCTCCGAGTTTTTCTCCTCGCCTCCGCGCGCCGTTGGGGGTGGCTCGCTGTGTGTTTGAATGAGAAAGCAGGTTGTGGCGGCAGCTGAAAGGGGGTGGCCGGAGTCTTTGCTGCCTGGTGCGCGAAAGTCTTCAAAACCATTTCAGCAGCAGGAGGAAAACAAGAGAGAGAGAGAGAGAGAAAGAAGAGGAGAAGAAGAAAAAAGAAAAGAAAAAAAGGCGCAAGGAAAGGAGGAAGCAAGGAACCTGTGGAAAGGTGGGTCTGAAAAGAGCGGGGGCTGCTGAACTGGATAATGGAGGAAGGTGCAAGGGAACTTTAGCAAAGCTATCTCCAACTGGACGCCCTCCAGGTATACTTGGGTCTCCTAACAAACACCCCCCACCCAATGCCTGGAAAGTATGAGAGCGGGACTACTCAACACATTTGGAGGGCTTGGGGGAACAATTGTTTCGCAGGGGGAGCCGGGTGGTCGCGGCATGTAGAAAGGAAGAGTAGGACATCCTTTGTGCTCCTGGAAACCTCGCAGGCACAAACCCCCCATCCCCCCGGACGGGTTTGAAGGCGGTCCCCTCTTCCTTCGCAGCCCCGAGGGTGCCACCTTGCAAAAGGGGCAGCTTCCCCGGGCGGCCCACCTGCACGTGTCCCGTCGGGATGGCGAGGAACTCCACTTAACTTCTGGAGCGCCTCCTTCCAGTTACCGTTGAGCCCCCTAACTCCCCCGTGATGAGCCACCCTCGGCGCCGGTGATCACGGAGAAAAAGCCTCTTGCTTCCGAGGGAGCCTCGATCCCCCGCACTCTCCGGCCTCGCCCCCTTAAATAAGCAAGGCTTCCTTATTTGTATTCCTTAGGGTCGTTCTTCCCTTACTCTCCGGTTCAATGCGCCTTCCCTGGGAAGTATTGTTAAGATCTCTGGAGGCCACCTCAAGGAAGAGTGCCTTGGATTGCAGTCTGCAAAGTGGTGGCAAGTATTGGAGGCTTGCCTTTCCAGCTGGCCGGGGGGGCGCGGGAGTGCTTTTCCTTGACCATTTCTCTTATCCTTTTAGAAGAGACAAAAAGCCGCGGAGGGGGCGGAAGAAAGGGGAGGGGGCTGGATTGTGGAGGCTGCTTATTATCTTCCATCTGTTTACTGAGATCTCTCTCCCCCCTTAGTCGCTAAGTAGCCTCATGTGGATTCACTCCCCTCAGAACACCAGCCTCCCTTGATCAATCCTTCCCTTCCCCATCTCCCCAAACTTATTGAGGGGAGGGGAGAAGAAAGGTGACTGAGAGCTCCCTTTGTTGTGTTAAATAAATCAGCCTGTGCAGAGACCTTGGCTGCAACAGGCAACAAGCAAAATGAGCTGGTGTGTTTGTTCCCCTGTATTAAAAATTAGGCCAACGTTCTCTACAGATGCCTCTTTCTCATTGACTTGAGTTTAGCGTTGTTAAATTTAGTTAGCCCCCCACCCCTTTAATGGTTGTTTGTGCTGAAGTGAGGGTCCTTGTATTTGAAGTCATAAATAAAACAATGCTCAGATTTTTGAGCACTCAAGGAATTGACCAGGCAGGATTAAATTGGAATTACTTATTTCCAGAAGTGGTTGATAATAGGTATCAGTTGGATCCAAGTTACTAAAAGCTAACTTTTGGAATAGTGTAGCCTGAGTTTTGAACTCTAATGTGAGAGACTGAATTTAAATTCCTCTTTCTGACCCTGTATCAGGAATGATTGGAAAAAAAACAGAGGTTTTAGCCCTGATTGTACTATAAAGTAGGCATAAAAAGTTGTTACATGGAGTAGCTGATAAAAATTCATGCTTTAAACCACCAAGGATATTTAAAAGAAATAAAGCGAATAGTTAATGTAATATTAAGCTTATTTACTCAGAAATTAATCCCCTTGATCTTTAAGGGACTTAGTTATGAGTACCTGGTAATAGATAATATATCCAGAACTTTGATGAGCTGAAAGCTTTGTATACTAATAATATTAAATACTTAAAAGACATTTTATTTAAGGTGATATCATGACCTTAAAGGCAGCTTTGGTATAATGAAAAACTTAATGAATATTTCTGCACAAGTTATATAATTGTACATGTATAGATCTACATTAACTTCACTAGGATTTAGGAATAGAAAAGGTAAAGGTTCCCCTTGCACATTTGTGCTAGTCATTCCCAACTCTAGGGAACAGTGCTCATCTCCGTTACAAAGCCAAAGAGCCAGTGGTGTCTCCATGGTCATATGGCCGGCATGACTAAACACCAAATGTGCATGGAACGCTGTTGCCTTCCCACCAAAGGTGGTCCCTATTTTTCTACTTGCATTTGTACATGCTTTCAAACTGCTAGGTTGGCAGAAGCTGTGACAAGTAACGGGAGCTCACTCCATTACGTGACACTAGGGATTCGAACTGCTGAACTGTGGACCTTTCTGATCAACAAGCTCAGTGTCTTAGCCCCTGAGCCACCACTTTATTATATTATATTATATTATTATATTATATTATATTATATTATATTATATTATATTATATTATATTATATTATA